ACTCCTCCTCTGAATTTTGAACAGAAGTAGTGGTTTATACATTGTTTTTTGTTTAGGATTAAACTTCTGTATTGTTACTAAAGTCTACTTCAGCTTTCTAATGTCCTCGCGTAAACACTGAAATTTTATTTACTATTTATTTGTTTTGATTTTTTTTCCTGAATAGGAATAGATAGGTCCAAAGGTTAACTCCCATCGCTGCTCTTTTGAACACAAGTAAGGCTCATACATTTCTTGTTCGGGATTTGGTTTCCGGTTTTTCCTGAAGTCTACAACTCTATACTTCTAATGTTTCCGCTTAAAACGTTTAATTTTTATTTACTATTGAATTACATTTTTCTTTTCTCAATCATCTGTTTCACACTCCTCTTCGTTCTTTTGAACAGGATTAGAGGTTTATCCCTTGTTTCCTTTTAGCATTGGGTTTCTAGTTCCTTCTAAACTCTACTTCAATTCAATAATTCTTATGTCTCCTACTAAAACTCTGAACTTTTATTTAGTATTTATTTACTTTTCTTTCCTCAATTGGAGTAGATTTGTTCACCTATCGCCCGTTTCAAACTCCTCTCCTTTCTTTTGACCTGGAGTAGAGGTCTATCCCTTATTTCCTTTTAGGATTAGGTTTCCTGTTTCTTCTAAAGTCTACTTCAATTCTATACTTCTAATGTCTCTGTCTAAAACTCTGAAATTTTATTTACTATTGAATTACTTTTTCTTTTCTCAATAGGAATTTATAGGTCCTGTTTGCCTGTTATCCGGTTCACACTCCTCCCTGGTTTTTTGAACACAAGCAGAGGTTTATCCCTTTTTTAGTATTGGGTTTCTGGTTCCTTCTAAAGTCTACTTCAACTCTATACTTCTGTTTCCTCCTAAAAGTCTGCAATTTTATTTACTATTGAATTATCGTCTAAAAACTGAATTAAAAAAAAAAAAAAATATTTGTTTTTTTTTCCTTAAAAGGAGTAGATAGCTCCAACTGATCTCCAGTTGACCCGGTTTCCCACTTTTTTGAACAGCAGTTGTGATTTAGACCTTGTTCCTTGTTTAGGACTGGATCTCCGGTCTTTTCTTTCTCCTTCGCTTCCAATAGACTCTTACGTCTTAATGACATTATAGTCTTGCTTGGCTGAACTGATAAAAAAAAAAAAAACATCTTTATTTTAGTGACTTAGTATGGTACCACTCCATGAGCTACTAACTGAGGAAAAATCTAAGCAGTACTTATTTTCGAATTTTAGTATTAAATCTTGCACAGCACTACGATATTTGGTGATCATAAATGGTTACTCATCTAAGTACTGACCAGTTTCGACCCTCCTTAACTTATTCATATTAGTCTCTTTTAACCTACATGCAAGGGGTGTAAGTGTGATTGCCTAGATAGAGAAATAAACTAGCCTAGTTCAAATACCCGTCAAGTTCGGTGTATTGTCGCAAATGCTCTTGGGCAGGGTATCCCCTTTCAGCTATGTTTCCTTTTTGTTTCCATTTTCTCTAAAACTTCGACATTACACACATATTCGCTCCATGGTATCCTCAGCATCCTTCTGTAGAAATTTGATCTGTCTCTTCCTGATGTTAAGTATAAGTTTCCTTTTTGTTTCCATTTTCTCTAAAACTCCATCGTTGCTCCCATATTCGGCCCATGGTATCCTCAGCATCCTTCTGTAGAAATTCCAACTGTCTCTTCCTGATGTTAAGTATAAGTTTCCTTTTTGTTTCCATTTCTTCGTCGTTGCTTACATATTCGGTCCATGGTATCCTCAGCATCCTTCTGTAGAAATTTCAACTTCCTGATTTTAAGTATAAGTTCCTTTTTGTTCCAATTTTCTTTAAAACCTCGTTATTGCTCACATTTCCAGATTATGGTATCCTCAGCATCTTTCTGTAGTAATACATTTCTGTTGCATCGAGTCTCTTGTTCATCTTTGAGGAAACAGAAAATTTTAACGCACCAAGGTAAGAGGACATGAAAACACGTAAAATAAGTCCTCTTTTCTTTGAAACTGAACGAAAAATGATCCTGCAATGAACGACTTGGCTTTTGGAATAAAATGATCAGAAATCCCAATAAGAACTTCGAATTTCAGCGTCATCTATGGATCCTCTGTCAGAACACTTAACAGATATTTAAATTTCCGCACCTGCTTGATTTTAGTGACCCCGTCCTGTAAATTTCATTTTGGGCTCATCCTTTTGCTGATAAGTATGCATTGTCTTCTTGTAGTTTATGCTTAGTCCTTTCTTCTCGCTTTCCTTCGCTACCCTCTGAGAGAGGTTTTGTAGTTTCCTTTCCTTGTCTCCTATCAGTACTGTGTCATTTGCATATCTTATATTGTTAAGATTGTGGCCGCCAATGATGATGGCTGGTAGGATTTTTCTTTCATAATTCATTTCTGCTCCGAAACGTTGACCTAACGTAAAATAATTTTTTTGTATATTATTGAAAATGGACTAAATCTGACAAATTTTTTTTTTCTTACCATATTCAAAAACATGTCGAAGATGTGTACGATAAGCAGTCATTTGGACATTGTTACCTGCAATGTCCTCTGTGGCACGTTAGGCTATATAACGCTTTCTTTATAGGATACAGGTTCGATTCCTGTCGGAGAATACATATTGTGTACGAAATCTCTTTAAAATTCAGGCTGGTAAACGTAAATAATACTAAAACAGAGCATTTACTTATATTTAATTCAATTTGACAGAGTAATTCTATGGATAAGTCAAATTGGTATAAAAATGACAATTGGAAAAAATTTTATTTTTTGCCTACGCGTTTCGTCTTCCGATTTCATCAAGGCAAACAATGAAAGCAAAATGTTTTGTTGTCATAGTTACATTAAATCCAAAATTGTAAAAATGGAGACGTTCCTGCGTAAGCCTCTTTTTGGATATTGGTAATTTCCTTTATACTAAGAGCTTTTTTTTCATGTCGAACTTACAGTTCAATTTCCCAGAATAATTCTGTAGATAAGACGAATTGGTATAAAAATAACAATAGGAAAAAAATCTTAGTTTTTGCCGACGCGTTTCGTCTTCCGACTTTATCAAGGCAATAAATGAAAGCGTTTTGCCGTTAATAATAATAAAAAAAAAACCTAGACGACATTCTATAGGAGTCTTTATGAACGTTGTTTTTCAGCCTTGCATTTTTTCAAATTAGGAAAGTCTTTGTTGAATTTCTTCTCCTTCCAATGCATGTTGTTCATTCGATTAATAATGTCTGAGCAAAAGCTGTCAACAAAGCATTTCTCCTCAACAATTTTCGAAGATCGATTGTCATTAATTTTTTCTTCATTTGCAGACAATTTTTTTTGTATCTTCTGTGCTTCTGTACAAAACAACTTTCACCTGTTATAAACGTTTTTTTCACTTCACTTCATTATAATTTTTCATCATATAGATTAGAGGCACTAAAGAAAAATCTTCTTTATTTTAACTTTACAAACATTTTTTGAGGTTCATTTTTTTTTTTTAAACCCAGGCAACGCCAGGTAATGCTTTAGTTTTTCTTATAAACTGGTTCGATTTTCTGAATTATTCTTCTATTCTTGGTACTTTCTTACTCTTTTTCTTTTCTTTCTTTCTTCTTTCTTTTTTTCTTTCTTTTTCAAGAGGGTAATTTGTCCCAGTGGTTCAAGGGCGAATATGTGTATTTATTTAAGCCATGGCGGTATGGTCGAAGAGGCAGGACCAGACTGAACGCAACCAACCCCCGAAGATCCACAATGGCGGAATAAGGAAAGATCTACACGATCCCAACGGCCAAACCGGTGGAAGAGGAGAGCGTAAATCGAGCTGGCGTAACTCAGGGGGATCTTGACAGACCATGCATCCGCCAGCCCGATACAACCAGGATTCCCAGATCTCGCCTCTCTTAATCCCCTTTGAATCGCGAGGAAGACGCTTCTGGCCAAGTGTGTGGGCTTCTCTGTTGGGCAACTCTGCCACTCTCTCCACCAAAATCAAATTCACGCGAATGGCCTCGTCAAAACTCTCTTTGGTTCACAGCCATCTCCGCCACCGCCAGTAGGAGAGAGAGAGAGAGAGAGAGAGAGAGAGAGAGAAATGGAATAGAGAGAAAGGATAAGGATTCCAATGCTCAAATGTGGGTGCGGATGAGAAGAAAGCTTTTTTCTACCTTCGTCGTCTTCTGTTTTCCTCTTTCTTTCATCGCATTGATCTTCCTTTCTTTCTTTCTTTCTTTCTGTCATCGCCTTGTTCATTCTTTCACTCTTTCTTTTTCCTTTTATCGACTCATTCTTTCTTTCTATCTTTCTTTTCTTTTCTTTTTCTTAGTCTTCAATTAGGACGCTCTTGATTGCCACACCGAAAATTATGCCAGTCTCTGTTTAAGAAAATTATAATCCCTCCCTCCGTGTCTTTTTTCTCTTATTCCTTCGTTCTTTTATCCGTTCTTTTTTCTTTTTCTTTTTTTCGACTTCTTCCTCCTTTTTCATCCTTTCTTTCTTTTTTCTTTCTTCTTTCTATCCTTTTTCTTACATAGACTTGTTCGTTTTTACTTTTTTCTTTCTTTTCTTTTTCAATTAGTCTTTGTCATCTGACTAATATTCCTCTATAACACCTGGAGTGTTCCTCAAGCGCATAGTCCGACAGAAGAAAATGTTAGTATAGAACTTTTGCTTACATCTAGCAATTTCAGCAATGGCATTATCAGACCTAACTGCCAATCTAGTACTACGCTTAAATACCTAAAAAAAGAGAGCTCATCGGAACAATTGCCGCAAAATTATTCATAGAAAACGCATTCGGACGCTACATTACTGCGGTGGGTGAGAGACTGAAACTGAGATGCCAGGTCAGGGCCGATAGCATTGCAGATTCTTTTTTGGATTTTATCAAGAATCTTTAAATACATTTTAACATTTTTGCCCGTAAATAAATAAAATGGACCCAACAGGAATTTGAACTCGGCTCCCTTATTAACATTTCTGTGTCATTATCCATTACACCACCGGCACATCTAAGCTTAGAGCACCTGTTATTCCGAAGCGGTCACCCATCTAGGTCTGGCCGGGCTAAACGTTGCTTAACTTCGGTGATCATAAGGGAATCAGTGTTTCAACGTGATGTGGCCGGAAGCCGGTTATTAATTAGAATTTTTTTTTAATAAACCGAGCGAACATTTTAAAACTTGTTAATTAACGTTAGTTTTATGTCCTTAAGTTTTTAAGGGATTGTTTGAGGAAGGTTTTTGGTTTTCTAATCAACTTGTCGACCTCTCTGCCTTCAAGCAGAGAGGAATCCAGATGAGGATACGCTTAAGTGCAGAATCTCGTCTGAGGAGGTAGACAGCTAGCCGACCCCGTGTATACGCGGTCTACAGGCAATTTTTGTCCGAGCCTACGGACAACCAGATGTAAAACACAGACCTTGTGCCACATAACGTCTTGTTGGGAGGGTCTCGAGTAAATACCGAGGAATGTTTTTTTTGTTTATAATCGACGGTTTATATCAAAGTGGACATTCACTATTATAACTGAAATGGCAGAACATTTTACTAGTAAACTTTTTGTAAAGTGAAGTGGTTAATATATTTTTCTTGGGTAAAACTGTGGTTTTATGCCAATATATGATAAACAGATACCTGGTCATTAAGTGGAGGATCAGTTTTATTTTATAATAAGTCATAAACAGATCCCTCACTTTTTAGCATAACTGATTCCATACCTTTCTCTTAAAAATACCTGTAGATAGGATTGCATGATTGAGCTATGCTACTGTTTTTTTTTTAATAATTTCACACCAAGCGAGGAGTTAATTGCAAGAAGACACAAAAGGATTGCCGGATGTGAAAGTGAATGAGGAGAGTTTATTTACTTTATTTTGGTTCGGTTTGATTTTTTATTTTATTTTACTATTAAAATCTATTGCTGGAAATGTTTGCTATAAAAACGTATTTTTATACATTCATAGTGTTTGACGCAAGTTTGGGAGTTCACTATTTGCCCATAGCTGGGACCCTAACAGGTGCTACCACCCCGGGTCAGAGTGAACCTGGGGACAGCAGCAATTAAGAGGTGGTCCCAATCTTCTTAAAACCTCCCTGCTGCCGGTTGTAGTTTATTGTCATACCCTGGTCGTTTTGAAAGACAATAAAAAAAACAGGTTGCAGGAGGACAGATGATGGGGATATCAGCAATAAATATTTATATGATGCATCCTTGTGCAAATTAATTGAAACAACTACTTTAGATTCCTTTCTTTCACCATATGGGGAGTTTTAGACCCAATGGAGTGACAGGGTGAAATCGATTTCTATTTGTTCCTCAGATTAGGTCATTTGCAGTGGTATGCAGTAATATGAAGCTATTTTCGGTGTGCATGATGAAATTTGTTTGGCCTTGAAAAATATTACGTCATCCGTGATTGCATCAGATTTATCACGCCCAGACACTATTGTCTCAACTGTCGATTAGTTGTCCTACGGCCATTGTCTGCGATGGACGTTACTCCAAGGAAGCGTACAAAAATTGTAACGCTGCACGAACACACTGGCAAGCCTTACCAGTGAGCAAATCAAAGTACTATAGACTGACCCGGAAACTCTCCTGATTTAAATCAAATCGAGAATCTGTGGTCAATCTGCAAAGAACGACTTCGTGGAATGGACATACGAAGTACTAACATGTGCACTGGGTCATGTTTCATTGGAAAAATACGAAAAAAAGTAAATAATAACGGAATTATTGGTTTTTTTTCAATTAATTTGCAAGTTTGGAATAATAATAATACAACAAAAAATGTACGTAAACAAAATGTATTGAAACAAGGAAAAGGTATATATTTATATTTACAGTTAGTTTTGGTATATTCTTGGGAAGACTATTCATTGTTGAATGGGTTGATCTTATTGCAGTCGGGCAGAGTATCTGATTGGATCTCTTCTTAATGAATTGGTTATTCTTCCCGGTACCAACCCATATTTATATGGTCGGTACTCCACTATGTAAATTAGGTGGATCGTACCACAACAGTTTTGTTTCATTTAATTTGCACAAGCGTGTAATTAACAATAATACATTTTATCTGTAGTTGAAGGCCTACAATTGCAGTCAAAAGATATTTAGTTGAAACCATAAAATTGCAGTTCGAAATGTCGGGAATAAATGACCCATAGAAATGTTGATATGTCTCTAAACCAAATCAACAATCAACCTATATCAATCACTAATTTCTTCTAATAAATTGACATTCTCCCGAATTCATAGCATGTCAGGATGCATATACTGTAAAAAAAATCCTTTTTCTCTCACTTTAAAACATAACCTAATAAACGACCTTTCAAATACTTTAAGTAAATTTTACTGATTAAGATTGTTTTAAACAAAAATCGAATAATGAAATAAGAAATGCATATTATAAGGATATGTAGGATAGATATCGGTTGACCCTGTACTTGATAATGTTAGGATTTGAGTAGTCAGGGAAGCATCCTCTCGGGAGTTCTTGGAAGGAATCTAATGGTACTTACCAAAGATCTGACCTTTTTTGGAACTAAGGTTTTGTAAACCGTTAGAACATTTTCGTAGTCATAGTGGTAGAGATATGACAGGCAAATAATTGTTTCGTCTGGGGGAAAAATTTGTTGCTTTGGATAATATTTCATCACGAAAAAGGCCGCATAAGTTGCTTTTTTGATAGTTTTAACAGGATTAGTCAATAAGATGTCAGACATGGCTGCAATATTCATTTTTTTTTCTGATGCGATATTTGTAAACATTAATCATGGCGGAAAGATCTTTATATTTTCTCGAACGATTCAAAGAAATTTCTCCCAGAATCTATAAAGCTATGGTGTGAATACACGAAAAATTCGATGGCACAAGTAGACGGTTTTTATTTTGTTTTGTTTAAGTGGTTTTTGAACAGTTTTCAGACCAGGAGACCCATTCTTGAATCTCACCACGGTCTATTTTCAGGAAGGGGAAAATCATGATGTCAAATAGTCTGGAAAATTATTTTTTAAGCGCATAGCCCATTTGGAAAGTTCCTGAAAACCATACCATTGGTTAATTTAATGCCTTGTGAGTGAAACTTATTTGACGGTAAATTTGGGAACAGTCGGTACTTGTGCTAGCACGAAATCACAAGTGACCGAGAAATTTAAAGGTGCTAGCGTTGTACAGACTGTTGATCACGCTATATAACGCGCTTCCCTCCATGAGACGCTAGATAACGCATTTCCCCAAAATTGTTAACAGAAAGACCTGCTTATACTTAATTTCAGTATAAACCACAGGTGGGCTCTTTGGCTTTTAAAAAACACAATAGGCCTGAGCAGGAGACAACAATCGGGATTAGCTAGCAGCCATAGTAGACAGGCATCCTTGGATACGAGTGGTTGCACAATTTACATTTTTTTTTTTATTTTAGGTCTTGTGCGAGGTAAGAATGGTATGACTGCTCATCAGGACTGGAACAAATTTAGGGTCAGTCTGCTAGTGAATTCTAGGCAAGATTGGGCAACTTTATTTTAAAACAGGATATTCATCATCATTCTTCAATCTCCCTGTGGTTGGTCGGGAGTCCATTAACAATCCGTTTCAACACCGCCCGGTCCTGCCCAACCCTGAGTCCCGGGCAATGGTGTCTGGGAAAGTCAACTTTCGTGAGAAGACACCTCCAGAAGGTTACCATAGAAGTAAGGATGAGACGACCTCCCCTCCCGATCGGTGACAGTAGCCAGCAAACTTTATTAAACGCTTTTTATTGTTTGGGCTTAAATTAAAAATATAATTTTCTCCGTAAATTGTGTTATGCGTGAAATAGGATCTCCCCCTACTTTTACTGCTAACACAACAAACTCCTTCAGTAAACAGATTTGTATATGTTCCATCTTGTTGTCTTTCGAGACGAATAACAGATAACGCCGAAGTCCCCGATCCATACAGTAGGACTGGTTCAATCAATGTTCGAAAGGTTTGAACTTTTAAGGAGAGTAGAAGGTTCGAACGCTGAAACTTGTGAAGATTCTTACACGCATCCCATGCAAGAGCTTTGTGGATGTCGAAGTCTTTTGGGGAATCTGTTATGTGAGATCCAAGACATTTGAAGTCCCCAACTCTTTTGATGGATGTATTATCGAATGACTTCAACTTGTATAGTTCATGGGAGGTTTTGATAAATTCTGTCTTGCGTTGCAATAGAGACCTACATGGTTCGCTGTTTGCTCGGGTGATTGCAGAAAGGATTCTGCATCTTTGATACATTGGGAAATTAATGCAAGATCATCGGCAAATTCAAGGTCAATCAGGTATTTTGGTGGGTACCGACTATTCTAGCGAGGTTTCAATAGGAGACATTTTTCTCTCCATGTTGTCGAGAGAAATACGCAGAACATAGTCCAGAACAATTATAAACAGAAAAGGAGCAATCAAAGAAATCAGACGATACAATGGTAGCAGTGGCGTTTCTGTATAGAGCTCTAATTGCCTCAACAATTCTTGAGGGTATACCATAGAGTTGGAGGATTTTGAACATGAGATGATGGAAGCAAACTCCTTGCGAAAATCAACAAAATAAATTGTGATCTTTTTGTTGATTTTTTCATCTTTTCCACTATGCGGCGAATGGAGATGATTTGAGCAGTTCCCGACCTGCCTCTTCTAAATCCATTTTCCTTCTTGCAGAGCAGTGGATCCATGGTTTAGTTTGGTTTGTTTTACGGCATATCAACCTCAATGGGTTATTTAATGCCAACAAGACTTTTATTGCTGTTTTGGTTTAGTTTGTTTTATTTTACGACATATCAACCTCAATGGGTTATTTAATCCCGACAAGATTTTTATTGCTGGTTTGTTTTACAGTATATCAGCCTCAAGGGTTTATTTAATGCCGAAAATATTTTTATTGCTGTTTTGGTTTGGTTTGTTTTATTTTACGGCATATAAACCTCAATGGGTTATTTAATCCCGACAAGATTTTTGCTGGTTTGTTCTGTTTTATTTCATAGCATATCAACCTCAATTGGTTATTTAATGCCGACAAGATTTTTACTGGTTTGTTTTGTTTTATTTTATAACATATCAACCTCAATGGGTTATTTAATGCCGACAAAATATTCCTTTTTTTTTTTTT